ATTTTGGCGAGTTCAGGGGCTTATATAGGCTAGGCCTCGCCCCTATGACGGGCTCTGACGTGTGATGACGTGGAGCGATCTCATTGGTCACACGTCAGGAGCGCCCGCGCCATTGGATGTGCAGTTGCTGCAGCACAGCCTATGAGCGAGCGAGACGCTCTATGTGCTAGCTGTGCAGCTGCAAATGCGTTTTACATAAGGTTCAGTAAAATCAAGGAAAAGGAGTTTTCCCACTGCGTATAGCTACGCAATACTTCGTTCCCTAACTCAGGGAACTGAGGTTACGCGGGTAACCAAGTAGATCCTAACTTATTAGACAATCTTAGATCCATAACCCTGCTTAATAACGACTATAAAGTTTATGCCAACAGATTAACATGACAGATAACATGACGCTCAATTCACAATAATATACCATTTGCGCCTGATATACTGGATTATAATTATTTAATTCAGTATGAAGCTTTAATTTTATTTTTTAAATTTGTTTAAAGCTTTTGACACAATTGAACAAAAATGTGGGTTTTGTACTTAAGAATGATTTGGATTAGGAGAACACTTTATTAATCTAGATAAATTAATTTATAAGGACACTAATAGCTCAGTTGTATTACCACAGGGTCCATCTTCAAGATCTTCATCTGATAAAGGCATCAAGCAAGGTTGTCCATCTCTCCATTCCTATGAAACGAATCTGAATCTGCAGTAGTGGCAGTGTTCGGCCGACAGCTGTGGCTAATGACACAACCGTATGAAAAATTCGAAAACTCTCCAAACTATAACGCTTTTCTCTAGTAGAGAGGGCATATGGTTTAAAATTAAATCTTAAAAATGTGAATTACTACTGGTTCATAACTCCCATCAACTTTTTACATTATTCCTGTTAAAGATAGTGTTAAATACCTATAAACACATTTCAAAGAATAATACCTCACCTAATCATCTCAACATCTGGATTAATCTAGACAAGTGAAAATCTGATTTAAATGTTAATTCATGGTCTCAGAGATATTTCTAGTATTGGCCTAATTTCTCTTACAAATATGTAATGCATTTCTTGACTCATCCAGCTCATTCGCAATGAATGCAATAAAAGCCATAAACCAGGCCAATATTAATGTTATCTGGAAAAGAAAAACACTACATTAGAAAAGGAGTTTTGTTCAAAGAGTATGAAGGAGGGCTCATCGACATACATTGAATGTATTAATGGGACTCTTAAAACGAATGGGCTAAGATTGTTTTTGAAAAATAAAATAGTTTTTGCTTTCTTATTCCCAGCCAAACTCGTGTGAGGCACACATCTCCTCCTCAGATGATGAAGACCTTAACTCCAGCTAACTTATCAGTGTTTCATCAACAGGTTTCTACTTTATTGATCTAGCATTATCTCAGTCCTCATAACACCCCTTTATGGAGTTGTAGGTATGAGGATTTAGAAATAACTCTTATTCCCCCAGAACTGTTGGGATTCAGGAATACGGCCTGTGATGCACATATTAGAGTACCGGAACTGTCTTTTGAGATTTTCTGTTCAAAATGTAATTTATTTGACAGAAAACCATAATTTACCTCAAAGTATCTATAATCGAGTTGTCTTACAACTTATCTCAAAGTAATGTAGAACCGATACTGAGGGACTCTGGGACTCCAGATGTAGAGAAAAGCCGCTCCTGAGGGACTCTGGGACTCTAGAAGAAGAAAAGAGCCGCTCCTGAGGGACTCTGGGAGTCCAGAAGCAGCTGATGTGGAGAAGAGCCGCTCCTGAGGGACTCCAGAAGAAGAGAAGAGCCGCTCCTGAGGGACTCCAGATGTAGAGAAGAGCCGATCCTGAGGGACTCCAGATGTAGAGAAGAGCCGCTACTGAGGGACTCCGGATGTAAAGAAGAGCCGATACTGAGGGACTCCAGATGTAGAGAAGAGCCGATACTGAGGGACTCTGGGAGTCCAGAAGCAGCTGATGTAGAGAAGAGCCGCTACCGAGGGACTCCAGATGTAGAGAAGAGCCGACACTGAGGGACTCCAGATGTAGAGAGGAGCCGATACTGAGGGACTCCAGATGTAGAGAAGAGCCGACACTGAGGGACTCCAGATGTAGAGAAGAGCCGACACTGAGGGACTCCAGATGTAGAGAAGAGCCGCTACTGAGGGACTCCAGATGTAGAGAAGAGCCGACACTGAGGGACTCCAGATGTAGAGAAGAGCCGATACTGAGGGACTCCAGATGTAGAGAAGAGCCGACACTGAGGGACTCCAGATGTAGAGAAGAGCCGACACTGAGGGACTCCAGATGTAGAGAAGAGCCGACACTGAGGGACTCCAGATGTAGAGAAGAGCCGCTACTGAGGGACTCCAGATGTAGAGAAGAGCCGACACTGAGGGACTCCAGATGTAGAGAAGAGCCGCTACTGAGGGACTCCAGATGTAGAGAAGAGCCGACACTGAGGGACTCCAGATGTAGAGAAGAGCCGACACTGAGGGACTCCAGATGTAGAGAAGAGCCGACACTGAGGGACTCCAGATGTAGAGAAGAGCCGCTACTGAGGGACTCCAGATGTAGAGAAGAGCCGACACTGAGGGACTCCAGATGTAGAGAAGAGCCGATACTGAGGGACTCCAGATGTGGAGAAGAGCCGATACTGAGGGACTCCAGATGTGGAGAAGAGCCGATACTGAGGGACTCCAGATGTAGAGAAGAGCCGATACTGAGGGACTCCAGATGTAGAGAAGAGCCGCTCCTGAGGGACTCCAGATGTAGAGAAGAGCCGATAATGAGGGACTCCAGATGTAGAGAAAAGCCGCTCCTGAGGGACTCTAGAAGAAGAGAAGAGCCGCTCCTGAGGGACTCAGGGAGTCCAGAAGCAGCTGATGTGGAGAAGAGCCGCTCCTGAGGGACTCCAGAAGAAGAGAAGAGCCGCTCCTGAGGGACTCTGGGAGTCCAGAAGCAGCTGATGTGGAGAAGAGCCGCTCCTGAGGGACTCCAGATGTAGAGAAGAGCCGCTCCTGAGGGACTCCAGATGTAGAGAAGAGCCGATACTGAAGGACTCCAGATGTAGAGAAGAGCCGCTCCTGAGGGACTCCGGATGTAGAGAAGAGCCGCTACTGAGGGACTCCGGATGTAAAGAAGAGCCGATACTGAGGGACTCCAGATGTAGAGAAGAGCCGATACTGAGGGACTCTGGGAGTCCAGAAGCAGCTGATGTAGAGAAGAGCCGCTACCGAGGGACTCCAGATGTAGAGAAGAGCCGACACTGAGGGACTCCAGATGTAGAGAAGAGCCGATACTGAGGGACTCCAGATGTAGAGAAGAGCCGACACTGAGGGACTCCAGATGTAGAGAAGAGCCGATACTGAGGGACTCCAGATGTAGAGAAGAGTCGACACTGAGGGACTCCAGATGTAGAGAAGAGCCGACACTGAGGGACTCCAGATGTAGAGAAGAGCCGACACTGAGGGACTCCAGATGTAGAGAAGAGCCGCTACTGAGGGACTCCAGATGTAGAGAAGAGCCGACACTGAGGGACTCCAGATGTAGAGAAGAGCCGATACTGAGGGACTCCAGATGTAGAGAAGAGCCGCTACTGAGGGACTCCAGATGTAGAGAAGAGCCGACACTGAGGGACTCCAGATGTAGAGAAGAGCCGATACTGAGGGACTCTGGGAGTCCAGATGCAGAGAAGAGCCGATACTGAGGGACTCCAGATGTGGAGAAGAGCCGATACTGAGGGACTCCAGATGTAGAGAAGAGCCGATACTGAGGGACTCTGGGAGTCCAGATGCAGAGAAGAGCCGATACTGAGGGACTCCAGATGTAGAGAAGAGCCGATACTGAGGGACTCCCGATGTAGAGAAGAGCCGATACTGAGGGACTCCAGATGTAGAGAAGAGCCGATACTGAGGGACTCCAGATGTAGAGAAGAGCCGATACTGAGGGACTCCAGATGTAGAGAAGAGCCGATACTGAGGGACTCCAGATGTAGAGAAGAGCCGCTCCTGAGGGACTCCAGATGTAGAGAAGAGCCGCTCCTGAGGGACTCCAGATGTAGAGAAGAGCCGCTCCTGAGGGACTCCAGATGTAGAGAAGAGCCGCTCCTGAGGGACTCCAGATGTAGAGAAGAGCCGCTCCTGAGGGACTCTGCATAGCTTAAACGCACTCAGACAGCAACGACAATATATCGCAATACAAAAATCCAACAATATGTGTCATGGATAGTTCACCCTAAATACAATTTCTATGTGAGAAAAATTTAGAGTGTCAGTACTACATTAAACGACTGTATATGATGTTGAGTATAATGTATAATAATGCAATGGGGGAAAATCTGTGGGTCCCGATAATGGCAAACGTCTGATGTTACCAGTGAAAGTGGCCTACATTATTATAAATATATCTAGTCAGTGAAAGAGTGCAAGCATATTCATCTAAAATAATTCTGTATTTTCAGCTTCAGGATATTGTTATTCTGGTGTCTCTATAATCCTGTGCTTTGGGTTTCAGCACCAAATCCAAGCCCATTCATTTACACCTTTTTTGTTCATTCTGTTCGCCTGTTTGTCGATTAGCAACTCAATATACAATCACAATGTTTTATTTAAAATATTTCCTTGAGTAGATTTTCTTATTTATACTTCACTGTTCTTCTTGTCTGCATGTTCTATAGGGATGTACACTGAATATCACTGCAGTTGTGCAATGACAATAACAAAAGTATATTAATACTTATACCAGATTTAGCATTTTAATCAAAAGTACATTTTTTGTTAACCTTTTATCACGTCTTGGAGTATTGCAATAATATCGTATCGTGACATGAGGGTATCATTACACCCCTACTAAACTTTTCAGCGCACGTTATCTACTAAACGGGCCAGTCGTGTCTGAAGAAAATGAAAAATCAGTGTTTTTTACACACTTAAGAAATTAAAGTTGCTTGTGAAATCTGAGAGCTAATAGAGGGCTCAAAGGAGCACTAGATGAACATGAATGAAAGCAGACAGACTCCCCATCCTCCTCCAGCTTTATTGACAGTTTAAAATTACACATCTATGCTCTAGGACTTAAGTTGCAATTTCCTCCGACTTAAAAACTGAGTACAAGCACTGATATTCTTACAGTAGTCCAAGTGATATTGTACAAAAATATCTGATTTCTGTGAAAACATTCTTTTTGCAAATTGTTGCTAATTCCACGTGTCTCTTTATTGTTCCGGATAATTTAAAGGTAGAAAGGACTAAAATTACTCTATAACTTCCAGCATTAACAAGCATCGTTTGATGAACCTGCAAACATGACTTTAGAAAAACGTCAAACAAAATAAAAATGCAAAAAAAATGCAAAAAAAAAAAAAAAAAAAATGACTTCTGATATTCAAATTAATCCAAAATACCAATATAACCTTTCATAGTCGAGACACTAGCCGTAATGGAGCTCCTGCGATCGATGAACATGGTTTGTCTGTCCTCTTAAGCCAGCTTACACTTTTCTCCATATAACCACCAAAAATAAAACAAAACGGCCGAGTTGAGCCTTCACCTGACTTCTCTTATTTCATCTAAGCTTCATCTGCGTGATCCCAGAGGTCCCGTGCGCACGACGTCCGGTCGCGGATCCGCTCACCAGCGCATGGAAAGGGCTCTTTAACCAAGCGTCATGCGGTGCACCTCTACCTACCTAAATAAACATCTCATTTAAACGCAATATGATTTTTTTTTACCCCTCTTCTTTATAACAAAGGAAAAACACAACTCAAAGCTGCTCACGGGCCTGGAGAGGCCTCTGTTTGCCAGGCGTTGGCCAATGAAGAGGATTTAGAGAAGAGAAACAACCATCAATCAGGAAAGGAGGGGCGTCGAGGAGGAGTTACGCGGACGCTTCGATGGTGCACTCTCGGGCCAGGTGACCGGTCTTCCCACAGTTGTAGCAGTTCACCTCCGTGGCCTTGCTGCACTGCACCGCCACGTGCCCGATCTCGCCACACCTGCAACACACACACACACGTCAGGGAGCTGGAAAACACTACACCTGCAACACACACACACACACACGTCAGGGAGCTGGACAACACTACACCTGCAACACACACACATCAGGGTGCTGGCCAACACACACACTACACCTGCAACACACACACACACACACACACACGTCAGGGTGCTGGACAACACTACACCTGCAACACACACACACACACACGTCAGGGTGCTGGACAACACTACACCTGCAACACACACACACACACACACGTCAGGGTGCTGGACAACACTACACCTGCAACACACACACGTCTGGGTGCTGGCCAACACTACACCTGCAACACACACACACACTTCAGGGTGCTGGACAACACTACACCTGCAACACACACACGTCAGGGTGCTGGACAACACTACACCTGCAACACACACACACACACACACACACTTCAGGGTGCTGGACAACACTACACCTGCAACACACACACACACACATCAGGGTGCTGGACAACACTACACCTGCAACACACACACACTTCAGGGTGCTGGCCAACACTACACCTGCAACACACACACACACACACTTCAGGGTGCTGGCCAACACTACACCTGCAACACACACACACACACACACACACACTTCAGGGTGCTGGACAACACTACACCTGCAACACACACACACACACACACACACACTTCAGGGTGCTGGACAACACTACACCTGCAACACACACACGTCAGGGTGCTGGACAACACTACACCTGCAACACACACACATCAGGGTGCTGGCCAACACTACACCTGCAACACACACACACACACACACACACTTCAGGGTGCTGGACAACACTACACCTGCAACACACACACACACACACACACACTTCAGGGTGCTGGACAACACTACACCTGCAACACACACACACACACACACTTCAGGGTGCTGGACAACACTACACCTGCAACACACACACACACACACTTCAGGGTGCTGGACAACACTACACCTGCAACACACACACACACACACACACACACACACACTTCAGGGTGCTGGACAACACTACACCTGCAACACACACACACACATCAGGGTGCTGGACAACACTACACCTGCAACACACACACGTCAGGGTGCTGGACAACACTACACCTGCAACACACACACATCAGGGTGCTGGACAACACTACACCTGCAACACACACACATCAGGGTGCTGGACAACACTACACCTGCAACACACACACGTCAGGGTGCTGGACAACACTACACCTGCAACACACACACACACACACACACACACACACACACACACACACACACACACACACACACACACACACACACACACACACACACACACACACACACACACACACACACACACACACACACACACACACACACACACACACACACACACACACACACACACACACTTAAGGGTGCTGGACAACACTACACCTGCAACACACACACACACACACACACATCAGGGTGCTGGACAACACTACACCTGCAACACACACACACACATCAGGGTGCTTGACAACACTACACCTGCAACACACACACACACACACTTCAGGGTCCTGGCCAACACACTACACCTGCAACACACACACACTCTTCAGGGTCCTGGCCAACACACACCCTGCTGTTCAACACACACACACACACACACACTCTTCAGGGTCACACACTTAGGGGTGTGCCGGTTTCTGAATTGGTGATGACGGTTATGACGTGAGTCCCGTCGGGGGGGGATAGGACGTTCGGTTGAATAACTGTTCGTCAGTTATAGGACAACTTAGTTTGAATAAACATGCAGACACTGATTAGCTACTCGCTCTACGTTTATTTAAAATGAACAGCAAGACAACTAGAAGTGAATGTGCTTTACATTAAATGAATCCTTAAAAAAAAAGTGCTTTGCAATGAACATGCTTTGTTTGAAATAAATCACACACAGTACACAAAACTAGGGATGTCCCGATCAGGTTTTTTTGCCCTCGAGTCCGAGTCATTTGATTTTGAGTATCTACCGATACCGAGTCCCGATCCGATACTTATATAATACATTAAAAAAAAATAAAGAAGAGAGAAAAAACAGATCCAGGATGTTCCTTATTTTTTATTTAATTCACCTTATTTTAACATTCAACAACTCTGTTAACAAACAGAGCACTTCTGTGAGGCAGCTTGAACAATCAAGTAATAAATAACATCAAATCTTCACTTTTGGACTTTAGTGCAACAGTAAATATAGAAAAAGTCTAATATAAAAACAAATAGCAACTCAACTTAAAATACCCGGCAGGCATGTAAACAAAAAATAAAAATGTTTTAAAAGTGTATAAAAAATAATGAGAATATAATATAGGCCTACATTAGGGGTGTAACAGTTCACAAAATTTGCCGTTCGGTTCGATACGATACAGCAAAAAGAAAGAAATGCCAGAGAAATTTCCTATTAAAAGAAAAACTATTTTTGTAGTTTTCCTACATCTTGAAACTTTCAGGTTTATAAATGGGGACAATCTTTGAAGGATGAACAAATAATGTTTTGGTAATCACATTAAAAATAACATTTAAATATATATTTATATAATATTTGAGTTTTGAAGTGCAACATTAAATCCATGTTCATTCACGGCACAATGTTTCTCCTGGTGTCCACATCAGCGCTGTTTGATCTAATAGAGATCTACGGTTAATAACGGAGAAATGTGAACGCTTCACTAGATCTCGCAGTGATGTTATTACTTCAGTGGCGAATTCAAATGTTTTCTTCACTGGATCTCTCAGCACAGTGTCGCTTGATCTCGCGCTGCACAGATGTTGCTGGTCTGAACTGAAATGGTCCGTTAAGCACAATATAATGAGAAGCGCAGTTTCGTTCCGCTTTCATTACGTTTGCCATTTGATGTTGCGCAACGTCGTGGTGATCGCGCCAGCGCCGATTTTGTCTGCAGGAAAAATGGTCCTGGAATCGTTCGGTATATGCGTACCGAAACGGTTCAATAATTACGAATACATGTTCCGTTACACCCCTAATTTACATATATCCGAGTCCTGATCGGGAGGTAACGTCCGATTCCGATCGAGTCTGAAACCACTTGATCGGGCCCGATTTCCGATCACGTGATCGGAACATCCCTACACAAAACCTTAACAAAAAAACTTTGCAATTTAGACGCGCAAACTGTGAGCCGGTGCGGTGAGACGTAGCCTACATGCTCGGGCAGATTCGGCTTGAAGTCGGTCATCCTCGGATGCGGCGCCGCGCGCTGTTACAAAAAAGCTGTGCACACCGCCAAGAGAAATGGGGTCTTGCCGGTCTTGCGCACCCAACGCGTCATTTTTGCCGCGCACACCTTCGCGCTCATGCGGACGAGTCGAGTTAAACAAGGCTTTACTCCGTGTCAGCGCGCGCTCTGATCGGTAAAGGGGGAGAGACCTCTCCCGAATCATCTCCAGCACTCAGCCTCTGAAGCACCACTAACTCCGCCTCCGTTTCCCTCGTAAGATGATATTAGTATTTAAACATTCTCTATGATAAAACATTTTTGTAAAAAATATTTTAATAGCACGGTTTTGGCGGTTATAGAGTTCTGACGGTGTTCAACTATAACCGTCGGTCTCACGGTTATATAATAACCGTCACACCCCTACACACACTACACCTGCAACACACACACACACTCTTCAAGGTCCTGGCCAACACACACCCTGCTGTTCAACACACTCTAGAAATGGGGGTATGAGTCAGTAGGGATGAGTCACGCTTCTTGAATATTGAATTAGTTGATTTCATTATGGAATATCGAATAGGTTGTGGGGTTTTTGTCTTTAAAAAAGTCCCCATGTTTTGGTTGCGCTGATTCATCAGTGTATAATGTTACCATTAGAGATGCGCGCGACCGTCGCCGAGTCGCTGATGAAGGCGACGATCATCCATTTATAATCACGCGTAACACAGGATAATTGTAATTTGACACGCATGACGACCCTGTTTCCACATTCATGTTTTCTAGTTTACACAGAGGTGTAAAGTGATTAAGTAAATTAGTGAAGCCATGTAAATACGTTTTTACTAATCACTAATTTACTTAATCACTTTACACCTCTGTGTAAACTAGAAAACATGAATGTGGAAACAGGGTTGTCATGCGTGTCAGTGCTCAGCCTACAGGCGCATAGGGCTTCTTTTAGGGCTGGACCCGGATATTCGAATATTTGTTCGGTGTGTTGGTATTCGATTTGAAAATGTGACATTCGAATATTCTTCTTTTTCTTTTTGCACACCTGGCATCCCCCTCGAAACGGTTTTCATTCGCGCTTGAATATGTTTTACACTATAAATTCTGGTGAAATATAATACTTAACATATAACTTCGTTATATCTACATAAATATATTTGCTTCTTCTTGGACTACTAAACGTGTTCCTGCAACGGGAGTATTCTCTGGCTAGAGCGCAGAACAGCGGAGTGTGTGTGGACAGAAGTGCATGCCTGAGCTTGTGTTTTGGGTTAAGCTGCTGCTTTGACATTGTGGAACATAATAATAGAAACAATTATTTTTATTTTTATTTATTTAAATTTCGTTTTTCTTTATTTAAATCTACCCTACTTTGTCAGTGAGAAAAATATTATAAGACTACCTTAAAAATATTGCTTAAGTTAACAGACCTGTGTGTGTGTGTTTTATATCACTAACGCAGTGTCCATTCTCGGAGCATAAGCCCTGCGTGCGAGGTGCGCCGCTTCTTTATTTAAATCTACCCTACTTTGTCAGTAATTTGTTAGTGAGAAAAATATTAGACTACCTTATTAAAAATATTGCTTAAGTTAACAGACCTGTGTGTGTTTTATATCACTAGTGCAGTGTCCATTCTCGGAGCATATAAGCTCTGCTCGCGTGAGGCGCGCGCTTCCCGCTCGTGCTGTTCTGTAGTTTATTAAAAGTTTATTCATTCTGAACGTGTCGCGTCTCGCCTGTCTATATCTATATTGCACCAAATACACACTGCACTCCTTGTGAAGTCGTTTGAATGAACGGTTCTCGAAATAATCAAAATGCAAACGGACAGACATAGGCTATAGAGATTCCGAAGCTTCGAATATTCGATGTTCGTTACTACCGAAGCTTCGAAGCTCAAAAAATGGTATTCGGACCAGCCCTAGCTTCTTTACAAACCGCATATTGAGTGTTTTTGCGGATGCTTGTGAACAGGATCGCTTGGACAACGTTGCCATCTGTACGTGGGAACTCTTCCACTTCTTCCCCATTGCTGTCGTGTAAACGCACCCTTTGTCAGTTTAATTCTCTCATTGGTGAACGGTTTCTTTGAGACGGCTACAGCATATGGGCGAGTAAATAACTCTTATATTGGGGTGAACTGTTTGTTCAAAGCAGCCAGCTCTGAGCTCGGACTCACCGGTAACACTTGACCTTGTCACACAGCTTCTGGATGTGTCCGAAGCCCCCGCAGGAGTAGCACTTCTGCTCGTTGGCGTGGTCACAGTCGCGGGCCACGTGACCGGCTTTCCCGCAGTTATAGCAGCACTGCTCCCGCTCCTTTTTGGGCTCTTTACAGTCTCTGGAAATATGCCCACTCCTGTGGCAGTTGTAGCATGCTGGGTTTAAACAACAAGACAACACTTAATCAACCATGTAGAGGACCAACGGTGATGCAGAACAGGGCTCGACACTAAGGACTGCAGCGCTAACCAGACACCGGCCGGGCCAGGCTTCTTCAGCGAGGCGGATCATTTACGCCTTGCCAATTTAAATATTCAAGCGCATGCAGACGCGAGAGTGCCAGCAACACATATCCAAAGTGCACACGCAGAAATCCACACGAAACTGTCAAATTGAGTATCATCGTAAACAGTCGGCTCTGTCTTCAGTGATCAAACATGCGAGGTAAGATGCGTAACATTACACTGGATGCGTGCAGCTCTTAAAGGGATACTCCGCCCAAAAATGAAAATTCTGTCATCATTTACTCGCCCTGAAGTTGTTGCAAACCTGTGTGTGTGTCTTTCTTCTGCTGAACACAAAGGAAGATATTTTGAAGAACGATTGGACCTTTGGCACCATTGACTTCCATAGTATTTTATTTTCTACTATGGAAGTCAATGGTGCCAAACAACTGTTTGGTTCCAATCGTTTTTCAAAATATCTTCCTTTGCGTTCAGCAGAAGAAAGACACTCACACAGGTTTGCAACAACTTGAGGGCGAGTAAATGACAGAATTTTCATTTTTGGGTGGAGTATCCCTTTAAAGTGACAGCAGGCTAATATTCCTGCTTTATGTTAATCAAACGAGAGACAAAACAACTGCGCAATGCTCTTGACTGAATAACTTTAATGAGGGTTATTCTATATTTATACAGTGAAGACTATGGTGATATTTTACAGTTGATTACTAGTTCTGTACCTGAACATCTAGTTTAGACCTACATGAAAAACCTGAAAAGAACTGTTTATTTCATTTTTATGAATGTGTTTATTTGTACTATTGCGCTTAAATTAATTATTTCTTCACATTACACGGCTCTGTGGAATCCTCGATTCTGTCACGCCATACAGCGCTATATTATTCCCCGATAACCACCTCTGAACAGAGACACGGGCTCATCCGGGTCACTGGAGCCAGCAGCGCTATACGCTTGAGCTAATGAAATATTAAAACTCAAATCAATATTTTGCGTACAGTTATTTAATTATGCAGTCCAGTATCGTGGACTCGCTCTCTCGTTTCTATCAAACGCAGCCGCTGCCATTTTGTGACTATTGTTTTATACGCTGTAAAGGATTATAAGACACAAACAGGTACGATTTTAAAACGGCTTAATCTGAAATAACCATAATTATTTATGTGTGAAATGCTGTGTAATAAGTGCTATGACTGTCTCTCTTAAATGTCCGTCTAGTCCGAACTCGCCGCTGAAACTTTGCGTTTAAACACCTAATGACATATTACAACTAGATCAATACTAATGAAGTAAGGGATGAGCATCCAGCTGGTTATCTCAGAATAAACCCCTTCAGGTGTGTGTGTGTGTGTTATCTCAGAATAAACCCCTTCAGGTGTGTGTGTGTGTGTTATCTCAGAATAAACCCCTTCAGGTGTGTGTGTGAGATCTCAGAATAAACCCCTGGATAAAGAACAACCGGCTGGATGTACATCATCCCTTACTTTATCAGTGACTGTCTTTAACAACATTTAACATTTATATGAGTTAGCCTAGTAGTTTGTGGTGTCATAAACGTATTAATAAGGTTACATGGATCCAAAACAACTAAAACAATAATCAGGCCTATTTTGATTTTATGTATTTATTACTTTTTTTGTGGTGGGGTCGACCGGGCCAGTAGAGCAAACCCTTGGTGTTGAGCCCTGCAAAAGATCTTCAAGTGCTACCAAAAGGAAGTGTGATGAGGCGCAGCATCTTACCATCCTCGGTCTGCTCACAATCCCTGGCGATGTGACCCTGCTCTCCACACCGGTAACAGAACAGATCTACTGAGACCGAGACACACAGAGAGAGAGAGAGACACAGAGAGACTTCATGAGTCAGCTCCTGGACAGATGCGGCGTGTTTAAATAAAGCCCTGCGGTCCTCCTACCCTTTCCTCGGCCCCGACCCCGGCCACGGCCCCGGCCCGCGTTGGGACAGTTCTTGATCCAGTGTCCGGAGCGGCCGCATCCAAAGCACTCGCTGGTACTCATGTCCATTCTCTGCGGAGATTAAAACCTCATTACCTCTGGGACAAGGTTCAACAGTTCACTGGGAACCTCATGCTGCAAACACTAACATCATGCAAAAAAGGCCTAAACATAGGCTAGTTTATGGTTTTAGACACTACTGTTTTTGTTAAAGACATTAATAATTAAACAAGTGTTTCTATATTTATACACCCTTGTAATCTAAGTTCATTCTCAAAAAAAAAAAAAAACATTTTCAGTGACAAATCATGAGACACCATATTTCCAGGACAGTCAATCTAATCTAACTTAGTGTTTATTTGCAGTGTGAGCTTGCTAGCACAATCGTTAAGTTACACCCAACTTTAATAACTTAATTAAGTCAATGGCAATAGTCCACACTCATATGGTGTGAATGGGAAGGCTGAAGGCACATGGCACGTGTCCTAGCCTCACTGCTACTGCTAAAGACAAGTCTGACAGAGTTAACAGGGCTGACACTGACAACTATCAATAACTTACTCATAAACGTATTTAACCAGAGGAGTTATGAAGGCATAAACATCTGCATAATGGTTTAATACATGTACTAATCGTTAAATCATACATCAGCCCGAGGAAACGCAGCACAACAGAGTAACGTGAACTGCTCTCGGCTACACTAGAGTATATTCATACTGCATATAAATGAATAAATCAATGTATGCAAGTTTATAGGTGTAACTTCCAGCTGATAAATGACACGCGATTGAAGGAAAGTCACATGTTCACCGTCCACAGCCTTACCACCTCAACACTGGGCCACACCATGCAGATTCACCACAAAACTTCACAAATACACTCAATTCTATCACTAATCTGCAGTGGCGTGAGTATTTATGAACTGCTGTGTGTTTTATTTCTGGAATTGCACACGTGCACGTGCACTTCTACGAGTCTTTCCCGCGCAGGCACGCGCTGCTGCAGGCCTCGGCTAGCTCAACGCGCGTGAATAAACACACTCACTCGCTACACACGCTGCGGTCTACATATTCAAAGCCAGCATTAAAGATGTAACTGATCATTAAGTTAATATGAACAAAACCAGTTGGAATTGAGAGTTTGTCGCTGATAATGTGTGTACTCACCTATAACAGAACACTAGCCTGTTAGCTGTGACTCACTGCTGTTTACTCCTCCCTTCAGCACTGCGCATGAATGCGCTGAGCGACAGATACAGTAGCCAATAAGACCTCACGATTTAGCGCGGGGGCAACCAATGAGGATCGAGTGCCTGGAGACACCCCTCCATTCTGTCCAATCGCTGATCTAAAAGAAACACTTGTCCTGCCCACGCAAACAACACTGTTGGAAATATTCAGAAATGGAATATTATCGTTGTGCTTGTTTATATACCATCTATTATAAAAACAGAGAACTACTGGAATATATAACAAGTGTTATTTCCAAACATGTTTTTCCAAGTCTGTGGTTACGTTTATGCAGATCCTACAACATTTTAAAGTTTAGTTATGAGGGAGAACTCAAACTGACAGTGAGTTATTAATACTCATTTGAATAAGCAGTTCAGAACAAGAAATCGTGCAATAATATGCAGTCGCGACTGTCTGCTTTTGCTATAGCCGCTGGTGCAGTTTTTCAAATCTAGTCGCCAAATCGGATTAAAAAATATTAATAAAAGTAGAATAGTAGAACATATTTACGTGCCATAAATAGTAAGAGTAGTATGCTACTTTGAATTCTACCATATTAATTATGGTTAGCAAACGACAAAATGTGTCTTTTAAAACTGCATCCATGTCCACATTTATTTCATGGAAATCTTGTAACATAATGTAAGAATATTTGCTCTTCATTTACTGCAACTCAAACCTATCTGCATTCATTCATCCAACTATTCATTATTATCCCGGTTTTACATCATATAAAGCAACACATATTCATAAAGTAATGAACGTAATGTGACTCAACGTAAAATAATTAATAATAAAAAATACAGATCATGGCTCATACAGGTGATGGTTGTTTAATATTCATTTCAGTACACGAGAGTGATTCAAATATCAGTTATATTCTTTTACTTACTTAACTTACTTACTCTACTTTACTATATATTTCATATATTGATATATCGGTGTGTGTGTGTGTACATGTTTTTCAATCCCGGTGAGGACTTAAACCTGAATGCACACAGACTCATGGGGATTTAGGACCTAAATTGAGGTCCCCATGGGTAAACACTAAATCTTTTTTTTTTTTTTATGTAAAAATGCAGAATGTTTCCTGTGATGGGTTTAGGGGTAGAGTTAGTGTAAGGGGATAAAATATACCGTTTGTACATAAAAACCATTACGTCTATGGAGAGTCCCCACAGATATAGTAATCCAGACAAGTGTGAGTGTCTGTCTGTGTGTGTGTGTGTGTGTGTGTGTGTGTGTGTGTGTGTGTGTGTGTGTGTGTGAGTGTGTGTGAGTGAGAGAGAGAGAGAGAGAGAGAGAGAGAGAGAGAGAGAGAGAGAGAGAGAGAGAGAGAGAGAGAGAGAGAGAGAGAGAGAGAGAGAGGTTCCACTCGTCTTGTGTCGGTGACGTCATCGTCGTTTCTTCAGGTTATGGCGGAGCTCAACTCTTCAAACTTTCTCTGGTGAGTGTTGATCGCTCCTAAAATGCATTATGAGTTTTGTAATGACCGTGTTACATCTCATATCAGCTTTTCGTCTAGTGATTATAAAAATATAACTGGCTTGTGAAATGTTGGTAGAGTTTGCTGTTTAACGTTATAGATAAAGAAATAGGGCCGCAGATGTAAAAAGATCTGCTCAACAACATTCATGCCAGTGTGTGTACTGTGTAACCAATGCCTTTTAACTGCATGTAATGACTGCCCTGCGAATAAAGATCATCATATTAGCTTAACATGTTTTCCACGAAGTTTACACCCCTTTTCCATCTTAGCGACTGCACTTGTGTTTGTTAATGAATGTCTTCTGCTCATAAACACACACAGAACATGGGTTATTAAACACAGTCGAGCAACATCACGAGCTTGCGTGAAACATAGCGTTTGATGGGGATCTTTATGAAATGTACAAACTCTGATAACAACACTAATCATTTATTGCAGTTAACGTGTTCGGCCTAAACTTACATGATTGTGCTATTTTGACAGCTTTTTAGGTTTTCCTGGAAAATACATTTAAAAGTTACAGAATCTGGATTGCCTGTATGTTTGTTTGTTTCATTATTATGACACATGATTTATACAATTCCAGTAAGTGTCTGTATTTGAGAAGAGATGTCACTGCAGTTGTGTGTACAGTTGTGTAAAGCCCAACAACAACAGTTAAAGGCAGGGAAGGTGATTTGTTCCAGAAACATGTTTTGTTATGCTGGTTAATAGTCTCTTCATATCTTAAACTAAAAGCAATCACTAAGTTAAGTGGTCTAAAAGTATTTATATATCGTCTGTGGAAGGCGTAGGACCATACAATGCTCGTCCAATCATTGCATTGGGTCCTGCCTGCCTGTCAGCGCATGTATACACACCTCCGCGCAGACATCACACGCCATCAGTGCGTCTCATGCGGAGTTGTAGACAGACTTCAGTCACAGAGCAGCGCAAACGAAACAGCCTTTTACCATAGGCGGAGTTTGACATTCGAGCCAGGGGGGGCAAAAAAAAAATCATTGTAGCATTCATTCATTCATGTAGTAATCATTAGGCGCGTTTCCATTACAGATTTGCGCAAAACTTTTGCGACTTTTTCTAAATGTCGATAAAAAACTATTGCGAAATGACGGCGTTTCCATTAACCGATGTTATGCGACTAAAATGAATTTTTTTCCTCTCGCGATAAGTCATTCCAAAAATCATGGTAAACGGATGTTGGTAGGTTTATCACAGCCACCGCACTCAAGGCCGGACTTACCATTGGGCTTGACTGGGCTGCAGCCCATGGGCCCCGCCCAGTAGGGGGCCCCCTCCCTTACCCGTTTTCGTTCGTTTGTTTTGTTCAGTTAAACTTGTATATGCCAGATATCCCGAAATTATTAGCCGTATTTCCACTGTCTGGCCATGTGCAAGCGAGGGCTATAATCAGCCCAAAGTAGTGACTTGAGTGCTTGAAAACAAAATCCAATACACTATAGTGCGCGCGCACGCGCCGAACGCGTCTTTCCGCACTCACGGAGTAGAAAGGCTATAGTTTGAAAGACGGAGGGGAGCACGGAATAAAATACCCGGGCCTTAATATCCCCCGACTGAGAGCTTCGAGGCTATAATCAAACGGCACAACCTGATATTTATCACAAAGAATAACACGCGTGTTGATCTGCATCATTGCGATCGGTGTAGGCTACTTTAAACAGCTTCAATTGGGCTTTTAGTTACTTCAATTAAGATTTTAAAAATCTTGATAAATTCTCATGTTCACGTCTCGTTGCTTTAAAGAGAATGATAATTTCTATTTATTTTTTTTCACAAAATTATGTGCTCTGGAGAATTTTGAGCGCTCTCTCCACTGCCATCACAATATAGGAATATGTCATCAAAATGATAAAAAAAAAAAAAAAAAAACATTTAGGCCTAACGAGTTCCCGTTTAATATATTTAAAACACGAGCCTATGATATGTGAGTTATCACACCAGCAAGAGCGCTGATTTTCCGAACATCTGCACAATTGCAAATGTGACATCAGTTCAATCAAAGAAAACAGAACAAACAGCTGAACCGCTGCGCCTCCGAGTAACACGTGTTTTGTTCCTCAGAAAATCTTCATTTTTGATAGAATCAGATAAGTAGGCTAAATGGTTCAATTAGGCTACCCATTCATACATACAGTCGTTTGCTAGATTAAACGAATTAGGATTTTTGAACGAATTGGTTGAATAAAGGATCCAACTCCCTCATTAAGATGGAGACTTGCCGCCACCTACTGGCGGTGTTAGTTTGATAGTTAAAATGGTTTCATAGTTAATTTTTCTCAATCATTTCATATTTCTACAGTAAAAAATTTACATTTAAAACATTAATCTCTTAACATAATTTATGCAATTATAAATCCATACATGCCCTGTCTAAACAGCCTGTGTCAATCCAAAAATGGATTTTATTGATACCGACTTCCTTTTATTTGGTCATAATAAGGCATACACCGTGTCTTTGTATTCTGATTGAATTTGTTGACTAAATTTAAGAATCTGACAGATAGCTATGACAATGAATTTAAAAAAATACTGTTTTCTCTTGGCTTTATTATTAGAGTTTTGATCTTATCTCAACCTAGAGAGCACATCCTGCATTATATTGTATTATATTGACTATTTAAAATTAGCCTACCACTACACTTTGACTATAGGCATGTTGCATATTAATTGTTGTAGGAACCTCAAAGCATATTTAAATTTTTGTGTAATTTGTGCTTCTCCATGATGTTTGTATACCGTATAGGGCCCAAACATAAACTCAAGCCCAGGGGCCCCCAGCCCCCTAAGTCCTGCCCTGACCGCACTAGACATTATTATTATTAATGGAAGGAGACGTGGTGTTATCCAAGCATTAATGGCAGACCCTTATACTGCGAACGGCACATAGCCTATAGCCTAAGAGTTCCTGGCTGTTTCTCCCTCATTTCTGCTCCGAGGTCGTGATTGTGGCATTTCTTTGAGGTTTAGAATCCAGTATTCCTGTAATTATTGTTTCTTTTATGAATTTGATAAAGAACTCTGTCTCGTATTATGTCCAAACGGTCAGTGTACTTTTGTGTCCATTCGTTTTTCCTTATTTAACCCGTAATTGCAAAACGAAAAATAAACGGTTGTATTTTTAAAACGCAAAGTCGAACACCAAAATTTTAATTTGAACTGCTACACACCAAATGCTGCGCAAAATAAATAATATGGACGAATTTTCAGATTTTTGTTTATGACTTTTTGCCCCTTTATTAAACATTTAAAATATTGACAAATTAATATGAAAAAAATGTAGATTTAACTGGTTTTCTAAGGCCAAATTAGAACCTGGAAATTATATTTTTCCCGTATGTGCTGAATGAGAAGATAACCACAGGCTACAGAAAGGGGATTTATAGGTGAGTTATAGGCTATACTAATTAATAAATGTGTCTGAAAAAATAACAAGGCATTTTAATTGTTTATTAATAAAAAATCAGTGTCGGCTAAAACATATCTCCATCTCCGCTCTATACGGCGGATGCACCTTTAGAGAGAAATGCACCTCTCATACGGATTACATAATCAGAAGGTATTAGCTTTCGATTCGAATTTGTTCGTTTTAAAGTGGACATTTTAAGCTTTAGCTTAGGCTATTTTGTTTCAGTTATAGCGCTTCAGTTCACGGAGACCATGAAGCGCGCCTGATTGTTTTATTTTATTTTACAAAAGCACAACGTTTTCTTGTTATTGTGAGTGTACACAAATAAAAGTAGTTGCGAATAATGTATTATTATTTTCTGTATGACCAGAAATGATAGAGTAGGCTAGCCTATTTTAAGTTGTTTCCACTGTTGATAGGAAAATGCAAGTGTTCGCGCCCGCGCCCCGCGCCTCCGTGCCATCCAGTGCGCGCTCCACATTCCGCACACACACTTGGATATGCGTCAAAATCTTGTTTAGCCCATTTGTGATCATCTTAGCCCTGTATTATGAATGATATGTGACGAATCGCTTTGTTCCTTTTTTTGATAAGCGTCTTCTACATATGTAGCCTAATAAATGTTATAATAATGATGATAATTATTATTATTATCCCCGCGTCTTCTCTAAGTCAGCTGACTGTAAATGCGCAAAACCTGTTTCCATTGCAGTTTTTTTTTTTTACTAAAGCAGTATATAAAATCAGATGTGTATTACCTACCACCATTTAGTTGTTTTGTGTTATTTAAAATATTTATAATATGTATTTTTTTTAACAATGCAAAAAATTTTTTAAACGGGTTTCAGCCACCAATGCTCAGGGGCAATGCTCCCCCTGCCCCCCGCAAACTCCGCGCCTGCCTTTTACAGCTCCTCCTGAAGCGAAACAACCAGCTTATGCTGCCTCCACGCCATAACTACTGACATTCGGAAGATATGGAAACCCATGACATTATATACTCGGAGCTGTTCATGACGCTAATTTATGCGTTTCTGTGTCAACACAATCAATGCCGAAATTAACTGCAGCAGTCAGGTGATACAGTTCAGGGCTCTAGAAGTTGTTCATTATTACTGTAATGTTGTGTGCTGTGAGACACGAGGTAGTTTAACACCGTCTCGTCTCGTGACGTTTCCCGGCTCTGCTGTGTGTGTTGATGTGTTTGGAGGAGGCTTTGGAGACGCTCTGGAGGGAGGGTGGGACCTCATGCTTTCAAAGCTAGCTCGCTATTGCTAGCATCTCCGAAAATCGCCTACCCTACCTTTAAACTGTGATTCAAATGTTTTTATGTTTTTACTGGGTGATCAGCCCCACCACAAACGAACAAATTAATAAATATTGGTTTCATTGTTTTTGACCATGTAACCATGTACTCTGACAAACAGTTTTGTAAAAAACAAAATTAGATACCAGTGAAATTTCACAATTGTCATTTTAAATTTCTATACCACAGCTAAAACTATTAGCTGAACTAATATAAAAATAACTCAACCAGAGATCCCCGGCGAAATATTCTGATTTTGACAAAAACATTTCTGGTGAAAGAAATGCATAAATGAAGAAAAAAGCTAAAATATTAGGCTAAATGTCATGGATGTACATTTTAGTAATCCACTATTCTCTATAGGGGAATCAAAATGACTATTTTCACCTGAGATTTGGAGCCAAATTGCAAAACGTTACTTTTAAAAGATGGCAGCATCATTATTGTATTTGTCCACGGAGATTGGTGGGTGTATTAGTCAAACCTGTTTACTTCTTTTTTGCATTATATGCCAACAGTGACAGTTCAAAAATGGGGGGAAAGCACTTCCTGTGTGTTTTGCCCCAAGTTTGCATGCCTGTAGCTCAAGAAGTCTTAAAGATTTCTAAATATCCTTTCAGATTCTGGTTCTTATCAAACGTTTCTTTTGGGCTCTTCATTTTAAAGGCCCCAGATGGTACAAAGCCAGAGATATGGAGGTCCTAATGCGGCTCCATGAAACATTTGGAACACTTTTTTAGTGGTCAAAAGCCAAACAGTAATGAAGTTATATTCTGCTCTAGACTTATGTTTTGGCTGTAACTCAATCCCAGGTGACTGAAATTGTACAATTTACTAGCCATTTGCTAATTAAAGACATTTTTTAGTCGCCTAGCATGAAATTTGCTTGCATAATATGCAAGTGATTTACTCTTTTGTCTTAACCATACTGAACCCAGCAAGTTGCCCTCTGCTGGTATTCATGGCCCAGTCTTTAAAGCTGCCTAATGAACTGAAAGATTTCTTGTTTGCTTTTCTATCTTGTGTGATTATAGCAGCATTTTACACACACAGTTCAGTTATAGTGATAGTTTATTGGTATTTGGTACCTCAAGCTGTGCTGAAGAGTTCCTTAGTGATTCAACGCATTACAGTGTGCTAATACCGTCCTTTAATTGAGCAGACCTCCGCTCACTGGTGTGTGTCTGCTGTTTCCCAGAGCGAGTGTGAGAGGGCATCGAGATGGAGCAGCTGCAGGGAGCGTGGAGAAGCGTCACCAACGGCCTGGGGACCAGGGAGTGTGTGTCTGAGAGCTCCTGTGTGACCCCGTGTCCTCAGCGCCCGTCCTCAGACGAGCCCAGAGCCAGCCGGACCATCCGCGTGTTCCTGCCCAACCAGCAGAGGACAGTGGTGAGCGCCCGAGACTGCAGCTCATGACAGCGCGTCTCCCACAGCCGCCTCAGGGCTCGTTTCATGGGAAAAACTGCTATTGCGATTTTTAAAGATCATACTCACCCCCTTCATCCTACTTTTGAGTTGCTCCCATCTGGGCGTAGCCTCAAAATTCATTTGGCCAGAAGAAACGAGTATAAAAAATCGTTTGCCCCAATGGCAGTGATTACTTTTCTAAAGTGATGCAATAGAATGGCTGGCATTATAGCGTGTGGGTTTTTGTAATGGTGGGAACAGTGTTTAATTGTATAATTTTGTTAATTCTGTGTTTGTGTTGTTAATGTGTGATGTGTTGTTGAGCATTAATGTGTGATGTGTTGTTAAGCATTAATGTGTATCTATGTCACCAGTGTCAAAGACGAATTTCCGCTCTGTAACAACAGAAACCGACATTACAGAGCGGCGGGAAAAAGCATTTGAGTCATATTCCACAGATATCACAGAAACACCAGACTTCAGCTGGTACTAAACGTTCAGTGGCGCACATACACCACTGGCAGAAGAGTATGGTCTAAACTGTTGTGTGATTATTGATGTTTTTTTAGTAATGAAGTTGCAAGACATTGAAACAATTTCCTCACAGTAATCTGCCTCAACTTAGTTATTATTGTTGCCATGAATTTTGAGGACTATCAAATCCAGTGGCCAGTTCCTCCTTGTCTTACATGAAAGGGCGATATAACGGTGTGAGTGTGCGGGCCGGCGTGTGTGTTGGCGTGTGGCGGTGTGTGTGCAGGTGAGTGTGCGGGCCGGCATGTGTGGCAGTGTGTGTGCAGGTGTGTGTGCGGGCCGGCGTGTGTGTTGACGTGTGACGGTGTGTGTGCAGGTGTGTGTGCAGGTGAGGCGACGTGTGGCGGTGTGTGTGCAGGTGAGGCGACGTGTGGCGGTGTGTGTGCAGGTGAGTGTGCGGGCCGGCGTGTGTGTTGACGTGTGGCGGTGTGTGTGCAGGTGTGTGTGCGGGCCGGCGTGTGTGTTGACGTGTGACGGTGTGTGTGCAGGTGAGGCGACGTGTGGCGGTGTGTGTGCAGGTGAGGCGACGTGTGGCGGTGTGTGTGCAGGTGAGTGTGCGGGCCGGCGTGTGTGTTGACGTGTGGCGGTGTATGTGCAGGTGTGTGTGCGGGCCGGCGTGTGTGTTGACGTGTGGCGGTGTATGTGCAGGTGTGTGTGCGGGCCAGCGTGTGTGTTGACGTGTGGCGGTGTGTTTGCAGTTGTGTGTGTGTGCGGGCCGGCGTGTGTGTTGGCGTGTGGCGGTGTGTGTGTGCAGGTGAGTGTGCGGGCCGGCGTGTGTGTTGACGTGTGGCGGTGTGTGTGTGCGGGCCGGCGTGTGTGTTGACGTGTGGCGGTGTGTGTGTGCGGGCCGGCGTGTGTGTTGACGTGTGGCGGTGTGTGTGCAGGTGAGTGTGTGGGCCGGCGTGTGTGTTGACGTGTGGCGGTGTGTGTGCAGGTGTGTGTGCGGGCCGGCGTGTGTGTTGACGTGTGGCGGTGTGTGTGCAGGTGTGTGTGCGGGCCGGCGTGACGCTGCACAGCTGCCTGATCAAGGCGCTGAAGGTGCGAGGGCTCCAGCCGGAGTGCTGCGCGGTCTTCAGTCTGCACCCCGGACACCGCAGGTCAGTCACACCTCGCTCCAGGAATACCAGCACAATCTGTTTTCTTTATCTTACTATATTGATATTTATCACGATATTTATTTACCATTAATGGGGAAGGGAATGCTTTCCACATATTTGTTAGACCTTGAGTATGAATATAAACAGAGTAGCTACCTTTTAATTTAGGATTCTGTGTTTTATGATTTAATCATCCTTGCCTCGCGTTCTGTAACAAATCCCTCCCTTGTGGGTCAAAATGGCCCGAAGCCTTAAAATTATACTTAATTTTTTTTAGTAAGTTAATTAATTAGTAAGTAAATTATACTTAATTTAATAATTTTTTCAGAAAGTTTATTTTATGTTGATAATATTTTTTCTATTTTTAATAGTTTTAATAGTACTTTTTTTGTTATTTTTTATTTTATTTACTTTTAAATTACTAGATTTGATCAATAAATAATAAATAAATAGTAAGTTAAGCACATTCCTCACATTCTTTTAACATAAATTCAAAATAACTCACATTGTGTGTCTTTGCCGACCTCTTGTGGGAAAAAAATAGTATAACATGATATATCATGACTCTATCCACTAGATGACTTTATAGCTCTAAATGGAGCAAATGAGCTGTTCCTCTGGAACGAGCCAATGTTTCAGTTCACTGTTCAGTCAGTGTTGCCGTGGTCATTCCCCTGTGTGCTCCGGCACTGTTGATGGGTCCTATTTCCTGAAAGAGTAACACGGGTGCGTTTGCGTCTTTTTCAAGATGTCATTCCACCCGTGCGTTTCTGGATGCAGTCGTTCCCTTTTCCTCTCTGACGGTCACAATTGTTGCATCACTTGTTTGGGCTTACAGCACGCTGAAGCAGCTTTTGTAGACGGTTCATGTTCCCATTGCGGGAATATGACTGTCGCGGTGTTGAGATCGAGACTCGCCTTCGTCCGCGAAGCGCGAGTCCCCATTACCATGCCCCATCGTGTGGGATGGCTGATCGGAGGATAGTGATGGATGTCTCGCCCGGTAACCATTCCCTGTGGGCTCCTCACTCCTCCATCACACCGCAGCCGATGGAATTCCTGTTAGACGTGCTGGTCCCTCTGTAATGGATCGATCAGCCGTTTCAATTGGGGTTCCCCCAGAGGATAAGATGTCGATAGCAGCATCGGAGGGTGAGCTGGCCTCTGGAGATGACGACTCGGCTGTGTTATCTCCCTCTGGGAGTGTAACGTTGCCCGAGCCAGATCCAGAAATGTCAGCTATGCTGAAACGGGCGGCCCAGGCTGCCGCGCTCGAGTGGAACCTCCACCGTGTCCCGTTCAGTCTCGGTTGGAGGACTGGTATCCCGGGGCAGGCCGCGCTGGTTCTCAGCACGCCGCCCCAGTGCTTTTATTTCCTGAAGTGCATGGAGAGCTTACCAGGTTGTGGACGGCACCTTTCTCTGCCAGAAACTGCCTGAATAGCTTTTCCCCCTCAAAACCCTTGATGGAGGAGCGGTGAAGGGTTGCGAAGTTATCCCTCCAGTGAAATGGTCTGTCGTGACACTGGTGCACCTGTGTCCAGCGACCGCTGCCTTTTGGGATCCTCGTCTCCCCCCAAGGCCTGTGAGTTCTCGTCTGTTCCGACGGCCAGAGCTTACAATGCCTGTGGGCAAGCCGCCTCCTCTTGCGTGGCATGACGCTGCTACAGGTCTGTCAGGCCGGGGCACCCATGGACATGCACGAGGGTAGCCCAGACTGTGCGCTCATAGGTGAGCACCGCAGTGCTTCCGACCTCACCCTCGAGTGTTGTGGCGTGCGCGATCGGTCTGGCGATGTCCACCTTAATGGTCCAGGAGCGCCATCATTGGCTCAGCCTGGTTAATATGGCGGATGCGGATAAGGTTCGGTTCCTGGTCTCCCCAATTTCCCAGGTTGGGCTGGTCGGCGTCACGGCGGAGAACTGCGTCCAACAGTTCTCTGCCGCCCAAGCACAGACGGAGGCCATCCGGCACATCCTGCCCCGGCGGCCCGCTGCTGCCTCCACCCCGCCACCGGTGGCAGTTCCTCCGCCTGCTCGTCACCGAGGGCGTTCCCCTGCCGCCGCTCCCGCTGGGCCTCCAGCCAGGCCTCAGCATGGAGCCGGCCGCAGTAGGGACGCCCAGCCCGCTCCAGGCACGTCTCTTAAAGAAGAGTGTGTTCGGCTGGTGCTTGAAGTGAGAAAGGGTCTGTTACGACCCTGCGTTTCCCTTGCTCGCCTGCTGGGGGCGGTGTTCTTCAGGAGGGCATGGAAGATTGCACACTCCTGTTACCTGCTTTCAATTTGATTGTGGAGAGGATAAAACCTTGGATCCTACCCTCTCCATACCACTTCGTCCAGGGGATTGGCAGCCTCTGGAGGAGTCACTTGTTTTGCGACATTTATATTTGTTTACAGACCTTACCAACCTTTTCTTATTTCCCATTTGGATTATGATTTTGTCCCCTTATGATTGTGAACCCTAGACTTTGTTATCTTAAGTTATTTACACTTTTGTTGTAAGCTAATAAAAACTTCTTGCAAGTAATTTTCTTGTACTTGTATCCCTTTATGTGCGGTCAAAACGAGCTGGCCGTAACATAAATTGGGAGTCTCGTCCGCGATCCTATGGGGGTAGGAAACGTTGGTAAGTATGGGTTGTATGTGTGTATGTTTTTGTGAATGGATTCCTTTATAAATGAGAACTCTGGTGAGTTAGAGTGTTTCCAGCTGGATTGTGAATACAATCCTTCCGTCGGAGCACTGTTTGTTGTTTTGTTTTGTTATTTTGCCTTTCTTGTTTTTGGAGGTTATCCTGGGTGGAGATTAACTCTCTGTAGGGGGTACGCTTCCGGACTTTCAGTTTGACTGATAGTTGCGGAGTTCAGCGTTTAATGTCGCCTCGAGCCCGGTACATCTCTGAAGACCAGGTAGGATTTAGTTAGTGTTTTTCTGAGTTAGGAGCTGGAGTTTTCTCATATTATAAACGGTAAATCCATTTTGCAAAAATAAATTGGATAAATTGTCGCTTTTGTGTATAGTGCGGTTTATTTTCGCGCGTACACTGTGTTTTGACTTGTGGGAAGTCTTTAGAAGTTTTTTTTGAATGAGCATGCGTTGCGTAATACAGTGACGTAGTGTTTTGAAGTAGTGGCTTATGGGAGTTGTATTTCGGGTAAACAGCGTTTCACGTGTGGTAGTTAGTGGTCTCGTTTTGTAATTGTGCGTATACATATACGAACAAAATGTCTTCGGTGATAGAAGATTTCTTTGCGTGTCCATCAGAAGCTTTGCTTGAGAGTTGTACAAAGGAGCAGTTGGTGCAAATTGCCGAACGCTTCAGTGTCGATTTTACTTCTCAAGAGAAGAGGCTGAAGGAAACAATGGTGACTACTCTGAAGCGGTCACTTGTGGATAGAGGAGTTATAGAGGTAAGCACTGAGTTAATTACTCCCAGTGAATCGTTTGTGTCTACTCCTGCTGAGGTTTATGGTGAAAGTGAGACGAAATTTCCAGAATTGTCTTTGCAAGAGAAGCAATTGTGTTTAGATGCCGCGAAAATTCGTGCTGAACGTGATGATCGCGCTATGAAAGAGCGAGCGGTAGAGAGAGAATTCGAAGAGAGAAAATTAAATCATCAGTTAGCTATGAGGAAAATGGAGCTTGAGTTAGAGAGGGAACGTGACGAGAGAACGCTTCAGTTAGAGAGAGAACGTGACGAGAGAGCATTTGAGATAAAAAAGTTGGAGTTAGAATTAGCAGCAAAGACGGCTGAAGCTTCACAAGCGACTGTGCCTCCTGTTCCACAACAGCATGCGAATGCAGGTGAACCTGTGTTTGATGTTCACAGAAATATGAGGTTAGTGCCGCCATTTTCTGAAAAAGAAGTGGATAAATATTTCTATCACTTTGAACGTGTTGCTCTGTCCATGAAATGGCCTAAAAGCTTTTGGACTTTATTATTACAGTGTGTGTTCACAGGTAAAGCTCAGGAAGTTTATTCAGCACTCTCATTGGAACAGAGTGGTGAGTATGATGTTGTGAAATCTGCTGTGTTACATGCATATGAACTCGTGCCTGAGGCATATCGTCAGAAATTTAGGAATTTGAGTAAAGCTGATGAATGTACTCATGTTGAATTTGCAAGAGAAAAAGAGAACTTATTTGATCGTTGGTGCACTTCAATGAAAGTTACAACTAAAGCGCAGTTAAGGGAATTAGTACTCTTAGAGGAGTTCAAACATTGTGTTCCTCATGCTGTAGCTACACATCTCACTGAACACAAAGTGAATACACTTTCTGAAGCTGCTATCATGGCTGATGAATTTGTGTTAACCCATCATGGGTCATTCAGTTCAGTCGGTCTTAAAACCAACAATATGAGTAAGTCTAAGTCTTGTTTTCAACCTAAGACAAAGTCTCCTGTGTTGAGTAGGAATATTAAGTCGACAGATGCTGAATATTTTAGTAAACCTGTACTCTCACGAGACATGGTTTGCTTTTATTGTAAAAAGCCTGGTCATAAAATATCTGACTGTCTGATACTCAAGAAGAAAGAGAGATTGTCGAAATCTGTTGCTTTGGTTTCTACCTTACCAGTTATTGTTGACATTTGTGATGAGAAAGATTGTCATTTATCTGGTTCTAGTGATAAATTTGTTAATCAGGGTATAACTTCTGTTGATTATACACCCTTTATCACTGAGGGAAATGTGTCATTGCCTGGTTCAAATGAAACGGTGCCAGTGCGTCTTCTTCGAGATACAGGGGCTGCGCAGTCATTTCTGTTAGAGGGAATTTTACCCTTGACTTCTGAAACCGCTACTGGAACTCATGTACTAGTGCGAGGTTTTGAGATGAGGTTCGTTGAAGTGCCTTTGCATCGCATCCATCTTTCATCTGCCGTTGTATCTGGTGAAGTAGTAGTTGGTGTTCGTGCTGCACTGCCAGTGCCTGGGATTACATTCATTCTGGGAAATGATTTAGCTGGTGGGAATGTTTGGGGACGGAGTGATGTGGCAGC